ATTTCGAGGTAGGTGTTCCTCTACCTACTGCAGATCTGATGTACCATTCCAGATACCTCCAGGAGTTGGTTGAGGTCGAACTACCACTATGGTCTGTCGTAGTCTAGCCACTTGACACCCAGGAGTCTCGTTCGTCTGTCATACATATTCTGGAATTCCTTCATGTTTCCACCTTTTATGTTCACGACACTGTCATAAAAAACAAAGTGTATCCCTGGATCAGATGTGTTGCAGTCTCCCACTGGGGTGTGATGTTTCCTCTCTGGATTCCACACCTCCTGGTCTCTCTTTGGGCAATTCCTAAAGGGGGATCTTTTTTTTTTTATTGGCCCTCCAGCCATTCAGTGTGGGATTCTAGCTATTTTGTGAGTGGAGGTAAAATATCATATTGGAAATTAGCATTTTCCTACACTGAAAATGTATTTTCAATAGATACTTAACTCCACTTACATTTCTCACCCAGCCTCCCAACTTCCAATATTATATGGTGTAGGTCTTCTGACCAATTTTGAAGTGATTAATGAGTGCAGATGTGAAGAGGGCACTGGTTATGATAGGAGTGGTGTCATGCTCCTATTAGTGGAGAGCTGCTGCATGATCTTGCATGTGGATGTGCAGAAGCGGGAGGTGGAAGACTTGTGGCGTGCATTGAAAGTTTGCACTAGTCAAGAAAAGCTATTTTGTGAGAGGAGGTAAGTATCTATTGGAAATACATTTTCAGTGTAGGAAAATGCTAACATCCTGGTTAATTGTTCATCCATCCTGGATCACGTTAGTGATAGTGGTTACAGGTACAGGATTCTATGGACCATGTAATCACACTTATGAGTTATATGCTGATACTGTATGAATGAGAAGGAACTTCTTGAGTTTTAATATTTGTCGAACATCATTGTCACTACTTGTATGGTAGAAAGTTCAGCATTTGAGTGAACCATGCATTATTGAAATGGCTATTGAACTTCAAAAATCCAGAACATTGAATAACAATGCTGTATGAATACAAGTTATTAAATAACATTGCCCAAGTCAGCAGCATAAAAATACCATCAGTTTATCCTGGACAGCAGACAAAGATATTGTAGTGACAATTATGCATTTGGATGGACACCAAGAATGATGAATTAGGAACTTTTGAGTGAGCAACAAAAGAACCCAGACATAGCTTGGCCATTTATTTGCATGCAGCAAAGTAAAGTGTGACCATTACAAACTGAAAACATGGTACTAACACATGTAACATCTGGCATTTGTATAGTCAGTTACAAACACAGGATAGTGTTAATGGAACCACCAAGATATGATAGCCAACCTGTAATGTAGCTAATGGTCCCCAGAGTTCTAAAACAGGAAATACTTCAGACTTTTGGGCACTTGAAGAATCATATATTGATACTAATGATCAAAAGTTTATTGGTGGTATTTGCTTTAAAGCATTGAGTGATGTTGTAGACATTTTACAGTTTGCTTTATACAAATTTATCACTTTCAAGATTTAACAAGAGAAGTTTAGTCTTGTTTTGAATGACTACACACAAATAATTTAATATGAACACTGAGCATCTACATTTTCATCAGAGAAAGTTTGAAAATATAACTATTGCCCATTTTCTCAAATACTGCATAATATATTTAATTCAAGAATAAGTAACTTGTGAAATGGAATGGAAGGAGTAACTTGTGAAATAAAACAAACCAGCAGTGTTTTAAACAGAGTGGAATGAATAATTTATGAAATAAAACAACCCAGCAGTATTCTAAATAGAGAGAAAGAAGTAACTTGAGAAATAACAAGGACAAAGAGCATTTTAAGTAGTGAAATTCAAAAATAAAAAATGACGTAAAATATCTGGTTAAATAACATTTTTATATACACACTACACAAAATTAAGTATAAATCTTAAAAGTTTAAAGCAATTCACTAAAATCAAGTGTTTAAAAACCTGACATACATTTTAATGAAATTGTTTCAAACTTTTGTGTTGCATGCTTAATTTTTTCTGGTGTGTCATAAAAATGTGGTTAGAGTGAAGTTCAATTTAATGAAGATACAAAAACATTTCATAATTATAACTTCATTTGAAAATTCAGTTTAAATTGTGTCACAACATACCTTATATTAAACTGAACTCCACTTAATTTCTTATTTCATGAAAGGCTGGGAGTAATGTTTAATTAATGCAAAGGTGGTTAAAAGTTCAATAAATTATTTTCAATCTCAGTTGGTCAAAGGATTTCTTTTACTTTAAAACATTAAACAACTATTTATAATTTTTAGTTTCACTTCCCTTGCATTGCCTATTAGAGGTAGAAGTTTCCCCAAATGACACACACACATCATGTTTGCTTTGTTGGTAAGATTGATATCTACTAACAAGACTTGTTTAATGGCTACTAATTAGTTCAAAATAGGTTTAATTGAACAAATGTACAGTCACAATTTTAATAACAATCACATTGTGAGGAATAGCTAAGAACAAGTAAAAATAATATATTCAGTGTGGCTCCCAACTTTTAACCTTTATCTGACAACATTATACTTCATTTAAAGGGCCATAAATATATTTTATAATTTGGTCCCATAATGAGTATACAATGTGTCACTCCAACAGTATCTGGCACTGGAGGAAAAAAACAGATCCAAGGCATTAAACACAGTAATTGGTACTGGAGGAAGAACACAGATCCAGTGTACTAGACACAGCACTTGGCACTGGAGAAAGAACACAGATCCAATGTACTAGACACAACACCTGGCACTGGAGAAAGAAAACAGATCCAAGGCACTAAACACAGTACCTGGCACTGGAGGAAGAATACAGATCTAATGTACTAGACACAACACCTGGCACTGGAGGAAGAAAACAGATCCAAAGCACTAAACACAGTAATTGGTACTGGAGGAAGAACACAGATCCAGCATACTAGACACAGCTACTGGCACTGGAGGAAGAAAACAGATCCAAGGCACTAAACACAGTAATTGGTACTGGAGGAAGAACACAGATCCAGCATACTAGACACAGCTACTGGCACTGGAGGAAGAAAACAGATCCAAGGCACCCCAGGTGTTGTGTCTAGTACATTGGATCTGTATTCTTCCTCCAGTGCCAGGTGTTGTGTCTAGTACATTGGATCTGTGTTCTTCCTCCAGTCCAAGTTACTGTGTTTACACTGGAGAAAGAAAACAGATCCAATGTACTAGACACAGCTACTGGCACTAGAGGAAGAAAACAGATCCAAGGCACTAAATACAGTACCTGGCACTGGAGGAAGAAAACAGATCCAGAGCACAAGACACAGTACTTGGCACTGGAGAAAGAAAACAGATCCAGTGTACAAGACAGTACCTGGCACAGGAGGGAGAAAACATATCCAGTGTACAAGAAAGATTAACTGGCACTGAAGAAAGCAGCCAGATCCAGAACAAAAGTTCAAGACCAAGTATTATACTAGATCACAAAATAATTCTTAGACATCATTTTCAAGGTTGAAAAATGTAGTATCATCATTGACAGTACTGCATAATATTTGCTTGTAGGAGTGGTGACAATAGTATTTTAATTATCAATTTAAAAATGTTACTCTCAATAAGTTCATAGTTTGTGATTTATTGTAAGAAGATAATGTATAAAAATATCAAAGATTTTAGTATAAAGCATGTATGATTCTTTTAAAGACTATTAAAAGTTAGTTCTCACTAACTGTTTTTGATGAAAATATGAAAACTCGCATCACTGATAGATCTTTATTAGAAATAATTTTATTGGTTTATTCTAAACAAACATACACACACAGTCAAAAGGCACTAATATATAAATTGTATATCGAGTAACTTTTGTAACAGATTAGGACTTGTTTTCCTAATTAATACTTGAACTTTTTTTAAGTCCGTCTTGACCGTGGCTTATCTCCAGGTGTGTATAACGGAATAGTAAGGTCTGCTATTTTGGTGGGTGTTCCTGTTGATGGGTTTTTAGATGAACGTACATGACAGCCCAGAACTAAGACAATTGTGATGAGCCTGAGTTACAAGAAACATTTATCAGAATCTGATTGAACTAAGGTACCTATATCTTATATGTTAGGACTTAATACAAGTCAGAGGTAAAATTACAAGCACACCTAATCTTTTTGTTACTAATATCCAAAGTTAATGTATCAAGCATTTGAATAACCACTACTTTCTTATTGAACAAAACACAAGAACAGAACTGTAGTCAATGGACAGTGCTTACCAATACATACAATATTATGATTTAGTTAACAAATATTCTAACAGTTCATTATATGAACCACTACTTTCTTACTGAACAAAACACAAGAACAGAACTGTAGTCTATGGGCAGTGCTTACCAATACATAAAATATTATGATTTAGTTAACAAATATTCTAACAGTTCATTATATGAACCAATACTTTCTTACTGAACAAAACACAAGAACAGAACTGTAGTCTATGGGCAGTGCTTACCAATACATAAAATATTATGATTTAGTTAACAAATATTCTAACAGTTCATTATATGAACCAATACTTTCTTACTTAAAAGAACTGTAGTCAATGGGCAGTGCTTACCAATACATAAAATATTATGATTTAGTCAACAAATATCCTAACAGTTCATTATATGAACCAATACTTTCTTATTGAACAAAACATAATATTATGATTCAGTCAGAATATACATTACATTAAACAATATATCAGGTTACTTACCTGTTTACAGCGAAGTTAACATTTTCCTAATATGAAAATGTATTTCCAACAGATACTCACCTCCACACAGAACAGCTATCTTCCTTGTGCATCTGTCTACAAGATTTACATGGTACTAGCTTTGAGTTAACTCCCACCTAAATTCAGGTGCTTAACATGAACCGTGCTGGTGCGTGATAACTTCATCATGTGACAAAAGCCCTCCACCAACAGAACTTTCATGCACAGTTACTCCTTTTATGCTCTTGCATTCATGAAAACTTCATTCTTTGACAAGGTCAAAAAAATGTGCACCAGGAGTGGGGAGGACAAGTGAGACTGTATGAGGGATGAGTGTCTATTGGAAATACATGTTCAGATTAGGAAAATGTTAATTTCTGAGACAATAACTCACCTCTAAAGACAGAATAGCTATAATCCCATGTTAAGTTGGTGGAGGGGCCAGTATAAAAACATTTTTAAACCAAGATGAGGTCCCTTCAGAAAATACCCGAAAGGAAAACCCATGTAAGTTCATAGCAGGGACTGCGTAGAAACACACCCATGAGAGACTGCATCTCATCTCGACCAGGGTATACTCTTTACCTCAAATGTCAGGGGGGGAGAGGCAAATGAACCTCAAGTGTCGTACGGGTGGGAAGAATAGGAACATGATCATCTAAGCACTTGCATACAAGTGGTCAATGAGCCAATATATGTAGTATTTTTTGGGTGAGATCAGACCGTACATTGTGTGCACTCCTCCTGCAGGAGGAGGGCACATTAGGTATGTGGTATGTTTTTAAAAGGTGACCAATACTACACAAATAGTGTCACAACTGCCACACTTCTAATCTTATTATGCTAAGTCCAACCAGTGAGAATTCTCTATGGTTCAGCAGCTAGGAACTGGTAAGTGATAAGGGTCTCCCATGCTCCAATTGAAGAAAATAGGGGTAGAATATATGTTGGGGAGACCCGGAAAAGTGCACAGATCCACATCGGGACCACCAGCTGGGTCTTTTACTGGAGACAGTGCAACGGATGACCCCAAAATCCTATTTCTAAAAGCTAAGCTGGCAGCATAAGCCAAAAAAGGGGGGCTGAAATATAAACTAAATTCTAATATTATTTACCTGGTCATGGGAAACTTAAGGCCAGAATGCACATCAACTGTGATATAAATTAAATTCTTAAATTATTTTCCTGTTCACGGGAAACTTAAGGTCAGGGTGAACATCAACTGTGATATAAATTCTAATATTATTTACCTCTTCATGGGAAACTTAAGGTCAGAATGCACATCAAGACTGTGGTATAAACTAAATTCTAATATTATTTTCCTGTTCATGGGAAACTTAAGGTCAGGGTGCACAGCAATATAAACTAAATTAATAGATTATTTACCTGTTCATGGGAAACTTAAGGTCAGGGTGCACATCACTAAAATCAACAGAAAAGCCATCCAACAGCAATGCAACCACCATGGCATATGCAATAACTTTATCTTTCATACGCTGTGGGAAAGATCTAAAATCAAAGTAAATAATTTAAACAATGACAATACTATACAAGCTGGTGTACTAGTAGACATTTTATTTTGTTAACTGAAAAAGTGAGGTACTGCATCTGTTTTGGCTACTTATGCAAATAGTATTTAAGTTTTCCAACTAAAACCAGAAGAAAAACAAACTTTACTTTGAATCCAAGCCTAGGGAATAATTATATGTTGACTTCTAATTTAATATTAGAAATTGTTTTTGGTTCATTTTAATAAACTGCAACTGAATTTTTAGATATGGGTCACAAAATTTCTATTAAAAATACCTTTTTTCCAAAGAAAACTAAACCATTACTGGAACTAATAACTTTCTTTAATTACATTCAATTTCCAACGTTGTTTTTTAGTATTATCATTTCATATAATAGAAAAAAAAACTGTTTACATCTAGAAACAACTACAACTAATACGTTTTTGTGTGCTTAAAATCATGAAAAAAGGATTTCTCCTTTGGTTAGCTTGTGAATTTTTGTCTTACTTTGTTGTCCTTGATGGACCATTATTCTGGTTGCACTTGTTAATTAGACCCAATTCCATTACATTTATTCTAGTATCAACGTACATTTTTTATCCTTTTCCAACATGAATGTGCTGAAAATGTTTACTTTTTCACATCAAAATATAATTAACCTCACCACTTACCTGAATGTAGTTCCATGTTCATTTTCTGACTTCAGTGTAAAATTATTAAGCAAATGATGTTTATATGGTTCAGGAACTGTTGGTAAGGGATCTGTTTAATAATAAAAAAAGATACCATGTCAATTAAAATAAAAATTATTTCCAAAACCTTGACATACATTTCTACCATACATTGTTAAAAACATTCAGAAACTTGACCAATAAGTTATAAGAAAAACTTGTTTACAGATCAGTTAGTTATTCCATAAAAAAAAAAAACTGTGAAATATCATAAGACTACAAAACTTAACATTTACTTTACAGCCTGCTTCTGATACTACAAACCAGATTATGAAAAATTGTTAATTTGAAAAACCACAAATACAAAAATTACAGAAACAACATAGGTAGTTTAAAGTAAAAATGCAATCACAAAAATCTCTATTTTAACTCCATGTCTAAAATCTGTAATATTTAGGAGAGTCAAAATATGGATTTGTAGCTTGTGGAAATAATTTCAACACTATGTCTCAAACCTAGAGCTTGTTTCCTTTTGCTTTATGATTGCATTTTAAATTTAAGCTACCTATGTTGATTTTATACTTTCTTGAAAATCCCTATTCCCCCTTTTATAATTAACAATTCTTAATAATCTTGTTTCTTAAGTCTTTTTTATGTCCATCATGGAAATAAATCTGTATAATAGCAATTTGAAACAATTTAGTTTAATGAAAAATCATAGTTGGTGTATGATACTCTCTTTGGAAACAATGACAACCTTTGGATTGGTTTCATGCAGATTGGATGGCTATTGCTTCTGATATCATTGATAGCAGTACTGCATGTATGATCACTATGATGCATGGTGATAAACATACCATATTTTATGCATATGCTCGTAATATATATATATTTATACCCTGTAGCTATATGGGGAGTCTGTAAACACTGGATTGGAGGGACTACTGAACTATACTGGAATGGTGCATGTTAGCTAGTATTTATATATATATATGCAGTCTTGATAGTTTTTGTGTTCTAAAGCCATATATATATAGATAGCCATATGAATTTTTCAAGTTGTATAAATACATGCATATATATTCAATGCAAATATAAGACAATGTGTCATAATATAATAGGAAATGCATACAAAATAGCATTTTTTAATATTTCTTTTTTCTGCATACTCCACAAGGTTGAAAATGTGTTAATTAATTATATTAATATAGCTTTCCCCCTCCATTTCTGATGGAGTTTGGGTTATGACACTTCTATAACCCTCTTCCACTGTGACAACCTTAAACTGGTGGGCCATTGCTGTTGCATACTTTATATGAAAATAAATATTTTCTAAATAAAATATATAGCTACAAAATTTCTGCCTCACTTTTGTCTTGAATCGCTATCATTTTTGCCACTCCTTATAGTCAACTTCAAGGATAGCTACTATATCCGCAGTATCTATAAAATTCACAATCATACATTGTTGGCTATAATTTGACACTTACCATCAGCCATCACACCGTGATTGCCAATCTGATGTTTGAAACTGAGATGGGTGCTATCTTTTAAACTACAGCTTAAAGATTTCTTTTGTGGGAGACAGCTTAGATGTTTGTGTAATATTTTAGACATTTGTGTAACATGGCAGAAATCAATTGTGCAGTGGTAAAAAAAACTGTGATCCTGTCAGTAGCATTGTGTCCAAAAAGGCAGGAACTCTATACATAAATAAATTAGATGCAACATCAATACAGTTGCACGAATAAGTTAAGAATCACCTGCCATATAAACATTAAATTACATCAAAGGCCTACACAAAGCTATATACATATGAATGTAGTAAATTATGACACTCAATATAAACTACAGACTACATTAAAATGATCAAATGTCAATGTTTATACAGCTGATGTTATCTGTTAGGGAGTCAGATAAACTTAAAACTAACCTATACAATATGCAACGATGTGTTTAGTAATATTACCCAGGTTTTATTACAATACTCACAACCATTCCTGTAGGCTGGCAGAACAAGATTCAGTGATAATAAAGAACAAATCAGAGATTTTTATTAAGAACCACTACTGTGGTTTGTGATAGAGGAAACTGACAGTCACACAAATGTAATTTGACTCCAAAACTGTCAAAACCATTCTGTCACACTTACCTTTTTAACATTACATGGAAAATCCTTTTGAATTCCTGATGATACAGTTTATGTAAATACTGATCAGAAAGTGCAGTGCACAAGATGGATTCCTAATGTAAACTGTATCAGTGAAAAACTGCCAGTTTTTCTTTACCACATGGCTTACAGATCCTGGATTAATGAAAGTGAACATAGCCATACAAAATCTGTATAACATTATGTCAAACAGCAAAGAGTTAAAAATACAGTGCAAAACAGAGAATTATTAAAAATGATTTTTTATTTAAATACTTAAAATAGACTAAAATTTGTATTACAAAATTTGAATTACCTTTTTTTTTCATATCTTGATAACGAAGTTTCAAAAGGGTTACCAAATAGTGGAAATAGATGAGAAGTTTACACTGATGAAGTTTTGTTTCTCTGATGCATGAAAGCCGGCCAAGGTGTATTAATACATAGTGACAATATCTGGAATACAGAAACCAGTTTAAGTCACAGTAAAATTCTACCATAAAATAGAAATGAGAAGTTTAGTTTGATGAAGTGTTCTTTGTCTGATGCATGAAAGCTGGTCAAGGTGTATTAACTCCTTTGCTCTATGGTACTTGTTATAGCTTCCATACTATAACTTTTAACATAGTAAGCGTATCTTCACAAAATTTGGCAGACTTTCAGTAAACATTAGAAGTCTTTTGTACAGAAAAAAATCAGATTTTTTTAATGAAGTATTTTTGCTAAAGATTTGGCCGTGAATAAATATATATAGTCTTTTTTTTTTTACTAGTTCAAGTGCAAAGTGATTTTCTCATTTAAGTTAAAACTACTTTTCTTTCTCTAATAAATCTCAGATTTCATTTGTCTGATCTCTAAAACCTCCTAAACAAATTTAAAACTTTATATTTTACCTATTATTTTCTCTACTCCAACTCTATACAAAGTTGGCCAATTTGATTGACCTCATGAACACCAAAATAAAATCTAAATTACTCATTTTTTCTTTCTAGAATGACTTCAAATTGTAACATGAAACTACATTTGTTTATCCTAAATAGCTTTAAACTTGTAACAGCATACACCTATTTATACTTAAATTTTATTGTTTTATTGCCCTTTGATTCATGTTTAATTACTGTTCTTGCCTTTATTAGTCAATGTGTTTCTTGTGGGAATAAAGCTTGAACTGAAAGCAAAATTGACAATTCTCTTTTCAGAAAACAATGTAATATAATATGTCATTTGATAGATGAAAACCTTGACTTTCTATTGGTTATAAATAATATAGTATTGAACATCAGAGAGAACTATTGGCAATTTCTGAAAGAGAGGTTATGGCAGGCAGGTGTGGCAAGAGGAGTCTGGTTTACTATTTGATGGTTCTGTAACCAAATAATATTGAAGGCTATAAAAATTATGCTTCACCCGAGTGATGACAATATTACAAGGAGTAATGTACATTAAATTTGGTACTTCTTGGAGGGGTGGTAAATAAATAAGAGAAGAGGGGATGACTAACGAGAAAATGTCACAATTCTCACACTAGGTGAAATTCAGGATTTTTTTTAAATATTGCTTTGTAAAATTAAGAACTTACAACTTATATGCTATTAAAATATGGGTTATTAGCTATGTTTTTATGCTATAGTTATTGGTATATGATGAAATGAAAGCAGTTTAATTAACTTTCTAATGTAACTCTCTAAACCCTCATAACACGTGCAGAAAAAGATGCTCATGGAGAAAGGGTTAATACATCATGACAATATCTGGGATACAAAAATCAGTTTAGGTAACAGTAAAACTTACACCGTACAACAGACCAGAAGTTTAGCTTGATGAAGTTTTGTTTGTCTGATGCATGAACTGACAAAGGAGTATTAATAGATAGTTCCAATATCTGGAATACAGAAACCTGTTTATATCAGAGTAAATGTTCTACCACCTATAATACATAGTGACAATATCTGGAATAGAAAAGTTTTGTTTGTCTGACCTGAAAAAGGTGTATTAATACATAGTGACAATATCTGGAATACAGAAACCTGTTTACATCAGAGTAAATGTTCTACCATATAACAAATGGATGAAAAGTTTTGTTTGTCTGACCTGAAAAAGGTGTATTAATATATAGTGACAATATCTGGAATACAGAAACCTAATTAAATCAGATTAAAATTAAATTGAAACACATTTATTGGCTCATTATAAGTAGCTTTTGAATATGTGTTAAATAATATAAATTAAAACAACATTAATTATTTGTTAGGGCTAATTAACTAATTATAATTATTCTATTAATCAATTAATAAAGCTCAGTTTGAAAGCTAATAACTTAAGTTGTAAATGAAAAACCGATCATGGTGTTTAATAAAATGTAAATTTGTTGGAAGGCATTGCCATCATTACTTCTTACCCTAATCTTACATCTCACAAGGATAAGCCAGCATTAGATATTTAAACAAACAAAACTTATATTATTCATCCCAATAAATTATGATAAGGATTGGAAGATGAGACTATTTGACTTACAAACCCACTAGTTACTTAACTTTGAAACACCTGACATTTCTTGTCAACATCCTTTTTTTAAAGTTACTGTTATAATGTAAACTCAACAAAACAAAATGATCTTTCCAAGAAGTCTGTGGTTTAAATTTGTGGTTAACATTCCTCTATCCAAACTCATCCTTGTAAAATGATCTCTTCTATAAAGTATGTGGCTGACATGAGAGTTAGTTAGTCAATCAGCATATGTCTCAGTTTGTTTATACACAAAACAGCTTACTTTTCTTCCTTTTTCCATTCGTTAATTTGGTCAAGTGTAGCATCTGCCACAAGATTAGCTTCTTCATCAAGGCCAGAATATTCTTCTATAGATATAACTTTATCAGATTTGTTAAAGGAAGGATGTTTTATTTTTTCACATTTGACACATTTGTTTAACTTAATACACATTACTGTATTAATTCTAACATTAAAAACTTCAATCTCCTAAGTTGGTTGAGCCTCATAAAATTTATTTAAGGGAACCCAACTAAAGAATCAATAAATTTTAATCTTTATGTCCAACAAAGGAATCCAACTGATGAAACAATGAACTCTAATCTTTATGTCCAACAAGAGAATGAAACAATGAATTTTAATCTTTATGTCCAACAAGAGAATACAACTGATGAAACAATGAATTCTAATCTTTATGTCCAAATGATGAAACAATGAATTCTAATCTTTATGTCCAACAAAGGAATCCAACTGATGAAACAATGAATTCTAATCTTTATGTCCAACAAGAGAAATCAACTGATGAAACAATGAATTCTAATCTTTATGTCCAAAAGAGAATCCAAATAATGAAACAGTTTCTTCACATAAACTATAGTGTAATTCACTCAACCACCTATATTACTTTTACAGCCTATGGAAATGTTTATTTTATCACCTGTCCAGCTACTAGTTTCTTCACATGAACCCAAATGGATATTTTACCGTCAACAGATATAAAACACCAAACTTATCTATAAAGAAGCGCTTGTTTATCAAACAACCCCATGGCTATTTTATCTTCAATAGATATAAAACAACAAACTTATCTATAAAGAAAGACATTATATTTTTCTGTATTTACTATATTTATAAAAAAAAATAAGGATACTATCCTTCACATTATACACCTCCTCTGGACACGTGGCATTTCGATTCTGTGGCGGAATTGCTTCAGGCATTTCAAGTTCCAATCGATTCTTTTTCATTGTCTTTATGCCTTTTTCAATTAAATAAACTTGGTTTTAATATCTTACAGTAATTAGCAAAATTTTTAATATCAAAATTAAAGTTAGTATCTTAATATGTAAGTAACAGAAAACAATAAAATCATCTGATACAATGAATTTAGAAAACTGTATTGTCTCTAAAAGTTCACTTCTAAGTTAAATAATAATGTGATTGTGAAAATACTTATGACCAAAAATATCAACAACATACTAACATTTAGTATATGCTTATTAATATACTGCTAACATAGTGATAATTTATAAATCTTATGCCAGGTAAAAGTTTTTATAAGCAGAATCAACTATAGCTAGAGTTTTAGTTATTTCGGAACAATAACTTAATTTTATTATCCAATTTATATATCTTGTTATAGCATGAAAACTATAACAAGCACAAAATGGTTACGAGGTTGGTCCCAAGGACCAAGCCTGTAGTGAAAGAGATAAGAACCTTTTTAAATTTAAAAGAAGTTGTAACATAAGAATTTTCCAACTTTTGATTAAATGTATACCTTTTTTAGCTTACTTTTGGAAATAAATATTATAGTACCTTATCAGCTTTTCAGCAGTCTCAGCCATACTATCATGTTCTTCTAAAAAGTAGTGTGAGAACAGCATGTCTCTTGTTGTTCTTTTTAATTACTATAGATACAAAGAAGACTGAATTTTAATTCCAGCTTTCGTTTCCTTGAAAGCTAACTATAGGTACTCAAATTTATGACCTTGGTGTTTTCTTACATATTGTTGGTGTCATTAACAGGCCACATAAAATTTTTGAGAAAATCTTGATGTCTTTCCTATTTATTTGGAAGTTTTCTTAGTATGCCCTCTTTGAAGATTTATAAATATGAGTTATTTTTACTTTTGTACATTCTTAAAAAATTACTGATTCAATAACTACTTTTACATCTAATTTTGAACAATGTTATACCTACTAACAGCTCTTTGTTTTCTAAAACTTTCTTTTTTACACAATATTTTGTTTGTCAACAACTGTTTCTTTTTAAAAATTCTTGTTTAGACAATATTGTGATTATAAACAGCTGTTCCATTTTAGAAATTTTTTGTTAAGACAATATTGTGATTATAAACAGCTGTTTCTTTTTAAAAGTTTTTGTTTACACAATACAGTGATTATAAACAGTTGTTTCATTTTAAAAGTTTTGTTTAGACAATATTGTGATTGTAAACAGCTGTTTCATTTTGAAACTTTTGTTTACACAATATTGTGATAATAAACAGCTGTTCCATTTTAGAAATTTTTTTGTTTAGACAATATTGTGTTTATCAACAACTGTATCTTTCTAAATATTTGTCTTTATATACTATTGTACTTCAACAGCTGGATCTTTAACCCTTTCTAGTTCAGTGGTTTTCAAAGCTGTTCATGCAAAGGCTTTATATTATATTTTTTAAAACATTGTCACTTTCCTCCTGCTGGATATAATCAAAATAAGAAATAAGGTGAAAATGTTATGACTTCAAAGTCCGAGTTGATTTGAAACATTATAAATACAAAAAACACATTTGAGGCCAGTCAACACCACATTTTCTATGTGTATACATCAGTAACATGACTGTCTTTTTTATCTAAAAGCATTTTGAAATTGGATCCAATTAGTGTAGGCACCAGAGAAGTCAGTACAACTAGTCTATTCTTTGGCAGATATTTTTTGAATGGTTTATCTTCAGTTACATAGGTTATAAAATCTTAAAATGTTCATCCTTTCAGCCAATTGGAATAGTTGTTTTTTTTAAAAAAACAAGAACGCTTTCCCTCAACAGTAACAATTACAGTTGACAGAAAACCACAGAATGGCACTATTGGCTGCAGACACATTGGGTAGCAAAACACACCTACTTCTACTTGTTTTTCTTTTTCATAAATGGGAAATATCTTAAAACAATCTAAAAACTTGGGAAAAGGTTCTTTGATTATCTTGGTTTATCATAAAAGTGATTGGACAGAAAATAAGAAACTTGTGAGACATTCAAGTTTCATAGAAGTAGTAGTTAATGTCCACTTTTGTGCCTCTGGACTGAAAAAGTTTGTGTTTACACAATATTGTGATTATCAAAAGCTGGAACTTTACCTAAATTTTGCACTTCTACAATATTGCATTATTAACATATCAACTTTTGTTTCATATTTTGTATAAGACTGTGATTATCAACAGCTGGATTTTTTTTATCTAAACTTGCACTCATATAAAATCGTAATTGTAAACAATTAGAATAAACGAAACTGTATAATATTGTGATTATAAACAGTGAATATTTATCTAAACTCTGTAACTGTATAATACTGTAATTATAAAACAGCAGAATATTTATCTAAACTCTGTAACTGTATAATACTGTAATTATAAAACAGCAGAATATTTATCTAAACTCTGTAACTGTATAATACTGTAATTATAAAACAGCAGAATATTTATCTAAACTCTGTAACTGTATAATACTGTAATTATAAAACAGCAGAATATTTATCTAAACTCTGTAACTGTATAATACTGAAATTATAAAACAGCAGAATATTTATCTAAACTCTAACTGTATAATATTGTGATTATCTATACTATTATTCTGCTTGTTTGTATGTACGACCGTTACGCTTTCTGACCGAGAACCTGCTGCATAAGCAAACATAGTTAGAATGTTTCCCCAAGAAACACCACGCATGGGCATTATTCACTTGACGACAAACAGTCTGCCTGTGGCAGAGAGCTGCAAAGCTCAGTGATCAAGTTGCTACAATTGCTGTATGAAACAAGAAGTACCAACGAAAGGGGAATGTAAATATACTTTACTAACCATTCTGTACAACAGAATATTAAAAACTTATCAAAGTTTTTTAAAAAAAGTTTGACATTAGGTTGTAGAATAACATTATAAGTTTATTTATCAATAGCATTAAGTACAGTAAAGTTTATTCCTAACTAAACTAAAGTAAAAAAAAATTTACACAGGTTACCGTGTTAATTTATCTCTTTATCGAAATTAGGCTTAACATAAGTTAAAGTTTTATAAAGTACGGCCTATATACAAGTAGATTTATACCTTTTGTTGTCTATGATTACAATTCGTTTGTATTGTGCTAGAAATGTTATATTTAAAGAAGTACTATTACGATAAAGATACTAATTTGGCCGGAAATGTTTTGCGGGTCTATGCTAGTTAACAGTGAATATTTATCTAAACTCTGTAAAAGAAGGAGATTATCAACTGTGAGATTTTTATTCAAACTTGGTGGAACATTATGATATCAACAACTAAGCCTATTTAAACTTTGTATAATATTGTAATTATCAACAACTGGATTGTTATCTAAACTTTGTATTCCTATAATATTGCAAATATCAAAGGCTAAACCTTTATTCAAACTTTGTATGTGTATAATATTGCAATTATCAACTGCTAGACTTTTATTTAAACTAGTGGTTCTCAAACTTTAGTAACCTGAGGACCCCTTTTCATTCTCAATTATTCTGAAGACCCCCAACCTTATTAGGTTTTTTATTTTGAAAAAAAAAAGATTTGATGTACATGAAATACTATATTCTAAAATTATATGTTTTAATTAATATAAATTTCATTTCATGAAAATTACTTTTTATCCTATAAATCAAACTTTTTAAAAATATTTAATGACATTTTGGAAATGACTTGCAGACCCCCTGGAGCACCCTGATGGACCTCTGGGGATATATAGCCTCCAGTTTGAAAAATGCTGATGTAAGCTATGTATTTGTAAAATACCATGTGAACATTACTCTCTCTATCAACAGCCAGTATTAAGCTAAACTTTCTGTTTCCTCAACTTTACTATATCTATCAACAGCCAGTATTAAGCTAAACTTTGTGTTTCCAAAACATTACTATCTCTATGGACAGCCAGTATTAAGCTAAACTTTGTGTTTTCTCAACTTTACTATATCTATCAACAGCCCGTATTAAGCTAAACTTTGTGTTTCCAAAACATTACTATCTCTATAGATAGCCAGTATTAAGCCTACCTGATACTTCCTTATCTATATTTTCCACAACTTTGTCTGCAGCTAGTTCTAGATTTCCTTCTTCAACTTTGTGATGGACCCTAGATTCCATTGCCTTTCTTTTTCGCTTGCTTCCAAATGCACTGGTAAGCATGTCAACCTAGTGAGAAAGAAATAAAGCAATAAACAAATCAAAATAAAAAGCAATGATCATTATGTTATTATAAAAATAAAACAGTATAACCAGCTATCAAAACATAACAGAACTGGTCAACAAAACAACTTCATATAAAATGTTATTATTTTGACTGAACTGAAGTCTAAATTGAAATTGAATTCTGTTTGATGATGAAAAGAGCTGAAGGTCAAAACTGTTCATTGTATTGTTAATGTGTTACATTGTGAAAAAGTTAAAGATAGATAAACAAATGATCTGTATGATCAGAAGCAACTATTATATGGCTTGAAATACAAACAATACATGAAAATTATGATCAACTTACCCATCAAATTAAAGAAGTAAAGTATATACCATCAGGAGAACAACAATTATAAGGCTTAAAAACAGACAATACATGAAAATTATGATCAACTTAACCAGAAAATTAAAGAAGTAAAGTAGACACGATCAGCAGAAAGAAGAATTCTATGGA